AGAGGCGCGGGCGGCGGGGCTTCGCGGCTGCCCGTCCCGCCTCGCCCCTCCCCGCGGGCGGCGCGGCTCTCGCCGCAGCACCTCCCCTCCTCTGGAGGCAGCCTCAGAGGCCCCGCCAGCCGCGCAGACCTGCGGAGCCGCGCGCCGTGCAGTCTGCGTCGGAGCTGCGCTCAGGGTCCTGGACCTGCGGTTCCTGGGGCGGGAGAGGCGGGTGCCTGTTCGACGCTGCACGGGCTCCGGGCCGGCATGGCTGCGCTCCTGGCCGCGGTGCTCGCGTCCTCGCTCTACCTGCCCGCGGCCGCCGACTTCGACGGGAGGTGAGGCGGGCCCGGGGCGCTGTCTCCCCGCACGTCCCCCCCACCCAACCCCCGGGGCCCAGCCGACCGCCGGCGCAGGCCGCAGAGTCGCGCCGTCGGGCACGCAAGCCGGTCACACGCGTGGACTGGGGGACCCACGGCGAGGTTCGGCGCCGCGGGGAGAACTTGCGGACAGACAACCGAACCGGCGAGGAGCCGTCGGGGACTCCCTCAGGGTGGGGGCGAGGAGGCCGATGGGCGACCCGCTTGGTGCCCCAGGGTCCTGGCGGGAATGCCTGGTGTGGGTGTGCGAGACCCGGGAGCGGGCAGCCCACCCAGACCTGACCACCACGGCGTGCCGCGACGGGCCCCGACAGCTGGGCTGCCTGCCGCTCCGCGCGTCCTCCCCGCACGGTCCTCCCCACGCCGGGTCCTCCCCTCACGGTCTTCCCCGCACCCAGTCCTCCCCGCACGGGTCCCAGCCAGCCCGGCTGTACAGTGCTCAAGCGCAGCTGATCCGAGGGTCGTACCGCTGTCCCGGTGGCTGGACACAGTGCCCAGGGTCGCGTCGCCACCTCCCGGTCCCCACCCCTCCCCGCAGAACCCTGAAGATGCCACACCTGCTTTACAGTCTGGGAACCTGTTTGCTTGCAATCTTGGAAGCGGTCCGGTCCCTGGAGGGCACTGGAGGGGTAGCCTCAGAGCTGAAGCACAGCTTCTTGTCTTCCACCTGGTCTCAGGAAATAGAGAGCTGAGGCCTAAGAATAAAACGGTGATGAACTGAAAAGATAAAGACTGGGAGGAAAAGTGGGAAGTAGCCCGAGGCTAGGCTTTTTATTTTCAAAAGCTGTTCTTTGCGCACGTTTGAGTTTGTTGTGCTTCGTTGGTTTTTGTTTGGGGCGGGGGGGGGGCACATTTACAGAAGTGCATCACGTGATATACACACACTTGTACAATAGTTTTTAGAAGGTGCCCCAAACAGTCTATTTGAATGAAGGTCTTGGAGGGGAAAACTCAGGTATGTATGACTCTAAACAAGGAAAGAATTTAGTAAATCAGGTGTCGAAGATCCGGTAGATAAATACGAATCTTAAAATTGCACACTTTTCTTTGGGTATCATTTTCCTTGCAGAGGAAAATACCATGAGTTGTAGATGCAGGCAGCTTTCAAGACACAAGGACACTGAGATGTTTGCCGCACTTTAAACTCTGCTTTAAAGTCTCCTTAAAAAGTGAAGCTTTGTTTGGGGGGAGGGGGTTGGAGGTGTCAGTGGCATCTGAAAGAGCTCCGTTTGGTTTGATATTTGTGTATCTTTTGTGCAGCTCTTCATTTGCTCTTTATACGAGGCAGAAATTCTTTCTGCTTTGACAGGTCTTACATTATTTAATGCTTTTCAATTGGTGGTGCATCAATCAAAACCGCTCCCCTGCAGTAACAGGTGTGTTTTGTGGGAGTCTCTTTTATTTCAAGCCTCAGAAGCCCACCATGTGAATGATGGCCTGAGATTTCTTGTTTGTTTTTAATGGTTTTATCTGGCACTATTTCTAATTATAAGGATCTCACTGCCTCCTCTTACTCCTGTGTGCTGAGAGTGTGTAGTTTTAACTCTAAACCATTCCTGTGAAGGTGTTTTGTCTTCAAATTTCTGCATGCATTAAGGAGTTGATAGACAATTGTTTGATATGATTTAAATTTTTCTAAAATAATAACAGAAAATTATTGTAAATCTGTAGTGTCTTTATTTACTTTGAATTTTTTTGTTTGTTTGGTAGGTGGCCCAGGCAAATAGTATCTTCGATTGGCCTCTGTCGCTATGGTGGCAGGATTGACTGCTGCTGGGGCTGGGCTCGCCACTCCTGGGGACAGTGTCAACGTGAGTATCCGGTCTGAGGGCTTCTGTTCCCAGGAGGTACCACAGTTACAGATTTCACTCAGCACTTTGGAGTGCTTGTCATTACTGAGCATGGCTTGGCTATGCAGGTCTGTCCCTTTCCAACCAGAGCCACCTGTGTTATGGTGCCAACCTTGTCACTCACTGAGAGCCACATACGGTGCTGTCCATTTAAGCCTCTGTCCCCAGGACCTCCTGCTCTGGGCTCACTCCTTTCTTTGCTCCAAGCTCTGGAGTCGGGGTAACATAATAAGTCTAGACAATATTTACATTAAATAAGCTTGGAACTTTAGACTGCTTATAAAATCCTCACCAGCACTGCTGTATAAACTGGTCCATTTGCCATTTGTAAATCTTTTTTTGAAGAGCGTTATATTGACATGGGTCAACCAATATCATCACAGAAAACCTCTGGAAAGCATCATTCGTAAATTCTATACTTGATCAGAGTTATGTAGTAAGTGCCGATTCAGAACACTGATGTTTATTTTTTTTCATGACCCAAATGGATATTTTAATGGTAAAATTCACAGCCGTATTACAAAAGCTTGAGTTATTTAACAAATTTGTTCCCAAATTTTATTTGGATCTGAATCTCCAGAATTTTATCCTGGTCTTGCAGTTGTTCACTGCCACCCCCACCATGGGGTGACACTCCAGGTGATCAAATAACTTCCTGAGGCTTCTTTTCAGCATCACATCTGGCAAGATGATGGGAACTGAGCTGGGCTCTACCTTGGGAGATCCATTCATCATTTGTGAGGAGGTGTTCTGGAGAATAGTGGCCAGAAAAGAAGGCTGGGAGGGCAATGGAAGAGCCTGCCATAGAGGTGGATGGGTGCTTTGAGGAGTCAGGGAAATTTACTTCAGGAAAGGTAGGAGTTCCTTAGGTGGTTTTAATTATTGAGAAGGCCCTGTTTAATCTTTGTTAGGAAGGAGAGCTCTACAGTCACAGGTGGATTAGCTGCACATACAGCCTCTGCCAGGGGTTGAGAAGGTGAAGAAGGCTTCCTCTTATGTGTAAGCAACTGTCTCCTTGCTCAGTTGGGTCATTGCCTCCTGCTAAAAGGAGGTAGAGATAACTCTAGTTTCCTTCAAGAGGCAAAGTTGTTCTGTCCCCAGTTCAATGTTTCTAAAGGAAGATGGTTAAAAAGAAGACTAATACCTGGTAGAATTTGGCTGCCTGTTTATACCATAGCGTTAGAAGTATTGGCACAGTTAGAAGCTAACAGGTATGGAATCTGGTGAACCAGAGGGTTGTAATAACCAAAAAGTGAAGAGAGGGTAGACCCTCTCACTTGACCCAGTATATAAACAAAGTCATCCCACATGGGCGGGGGAGGGAGGAGGGTAGTTTCTTTGCAGGTTATTTTCCTTCTTACAGCTGTAATTTTCAGGAAAACTCCCAAACTGAATATTGAAGTGCTTTGAAGTTCATGCAGCCTTCAGGCTCCACCCAGGACAAGGAGAAATTGGCAGAATGCCCTGGGCAGCAGTGGAGTATGCCTTCACACCTCCCTGGAGGCAGAGATTTGGAGCATGTAGGTTTTCTGCCAGGTGTGGTAAAAGAATTCCAGGGAGAAAACTCAGCTGTCTTGAGAGGTTCTACTCTGCAGTCCCCCAGGAAGCAATACTTGGTACTGTTCTGTTTTTCTATACCAAGTAATGAAGTTTTCTTTAGTATGTGCTAGCTTGGCCAATCTAAATTTGAATGAATACAGAGACCTTTTAAAGTTACACTGGCATTATGAAATGTAATCATCTAAGAGCTTTCCTACAGTTCTGCTTTCACATGGAGATTCCCTAACAGATAAGGAATCTGTCATTTTTAAAACTTCATTTTGTTTCCGAAAAAAAATACAGTGGTGAAATATAGTGTTTGTCTTTTCCCTTTGTTATTCCTAAAGAATCTGAGGAAACGGCAGTGTGGAAACCATAATAACTGAAATGGTGTGTAAGTTTATCTTTTATAAATCACAATTGTTTAGATTTGGTAAAGTTTGAAAGTCAGCATAATGGAGGGGAACATGGATTCTGGTACTAGCTTTATGTCTAGTTTTAAATTCTAGTTTGACTTCTTCCTGGCTGTGTGATCTTGGGCAAGTAATTCATTTCTCCTGTGCTTCATTTTCTTCATCTCTAAAATTAATGTGAAACATACCTCAGAGACATACAGTGTTGAGTTATAAGTTGTAAAGCACTGAACGCTCTTGGCAATGAATGAATACTGCACATGTACTTGGTAATATTGAATGTCAAAGAATACTGGTACTGAAATACTGCTATAGAAGGATGGTTCTGCATTCAGAGTCCCCATTTATCAGCCATGAAAATGTATACTTTTTATCAGCACTAACCAAATTCAAAAATAGTTCTAAGGTTCTCTGTTGCAATAAAATAAAATTTCTTTGAATTGAAAAATGGCACTTTGCCATTAACACTGAAGATGGCAAGAATGTAAAAATTATTTCAAGGATAGTAGTATTCTTCTTTGTGTTTTCTTTTTCCAGAATCTTGGTCCAAATGTCTCTTGTCAGTTCAGAGTTCTGTCTCTGTGTTTTGTTTGTTTTGGGGTTCATTTTGAGACAGTGTCTCCCTGTAGCCCCAGCTGGCCTGGAACTCACTACGTAGACCAGTTTGGCCTCAAACTCACAGAAATCTACCTGCTTCTGCCTCCTGAGTGCTGGGATTAAAGGTGTGTGCCACTATGCCCAGCTGACTGTCTTTGTCTGTCTGTGTGCGGTAAGAGGTCAGTTCAAAGGGATAGAACAGCATCAAAAAGAAGGTTGTAGATGAATGAAACATCTGTGAACACTCCTGAGTGTGTTTTGAAGGAATCCTTTATGAAACTGAAAGCTGTGCAGTCAATTCAAGGAAATTGCTTTGAATTAAATTTGGTAGTGGGTTACCTATGAAATTTCCAACCAAGTTCTGGGAACTATAATGTAAAAATATTTTTGACTTTCTGACTCTTAGATAATCTTAGTGTTCTTTTCCATGAGAAGCCATGTCCCTTCCTAATCAGTGGTGCCCTGGTTGTCTTCTGAATGACTCATTTTGGAATTTTCCTTCAAAACAGCACAACAAAGCAAAAGGCAACTGTTCCTACTTACACACAGAGCTTCTTGGTTTATCTCTTAGGTTTGCATTCTTGTGGGGTAAGTGGTAACCACTCTATGTTGTCTATTAGGTTTTATGACCTTTTATGCAGTGACCTTTGGGTAAGTGTCTGTTCCACTTGGCTGAACATTTGTGGTGGGTTTTGACCCATCAGTCACCTTGAGTCATGTATATATGTCTACACAAAACATTCCACTCTTCACTCCTGCTTGCTGTCTTCCTTTTCGTGGACTTATTTGGTGAGACTAACATTGCAGGGTCATGGTGTTGCTGGACCTCCCCATCCGGCTTACTGTCTTTAGCTACAAAGCCACATTTAACCCAGATACTTTCTATCCTGTCCTCTGGGACTAAGGAAAGAGAGTAGAGAGAGGTACAACCCAGTGGGCATAAATTCTGTCCCTCTGCTTCCTGCCTGTACCAACCGAAGTTCTGTCCCAGCATTCCTGCCCTGTTGGAAAAGCACATCCATTTCCAGAAATAGGCAGACTGTTTTCATAGTTCTTTTCTAGGTCATACCCTTGGCTTCTTTCTAGTCTTTGGTTATTTGTTTTGTGTTCTTGAGTAATAAATAGATGGCTTGCATGTTAAAAATTCAACATTTGATATTCTAATTGTCTTAGGCTTTACTTTTATTGAATATGAATGTGGCTCTTTATTGTCGAGTGAAAGTCTCTTATATTCAAATTCTGATGGTTGCACATTTACAGAACATGGTACCTCAGATCAGAGACTGTCGCAAAGTATTTCTATTTCTTGCTGTTGTCATTTTCTCTTTCTGAACATTCTCTTCATCTTAATGGCACATTTCAGTTTAATTATGTTAACTATGCATTTGCTAAGTGAGACTTCTGCAATAGAGATATCTTAGGTTTATACTTTTCCTTTCCGAAGACTATGCATGGTATAGAAAGAAAAGTGTGAAATAACTTGGGATGTCTGAGTTCAGGCCCTGACCTTTGTACCTGATTATCCAGCATTTCTTAACTACATTTTTCTCATTTTACAAGTGGGTTTCCAAGGCACATTACAGTCTAAGCTCCAATGAGAATTTCTATAATGGAGAAAAGAACACAGAATCTGTCTTCTGTGACTTCTTTTACCTGGACGTATGGCTAATGACAACTGCATTTTGTTAAAAGCACTTTCTAGAGATGAGAAGAAAAACCCAAAATGCAAAAACTAGTTTCAATTTCAATAAAGCTATTCAGTTTCAAAGTTCTTGGGCTGTAAGTGAACAATTTGTGGTTTTTGAAGGAAATGACATGAATTAGAATCATTTTCTATCCTTTATCCTTAAGACTAGGGAAAATGCTTTGCTATGTTTCTGCTAGAGATTTGGGAAAGACTGAAAAGCTGCACCTACAGACTAACTGCGCTACTAGCTCTGGGCCTCATTTCCTCCCTATGGTGTCCCTGAAGTTAGTGAAAGCAGCAGCTGTACAAAGACCATGTAAAGTGATAATTTCAGATCCTTATCAACTTTAGATAAACTTAAAGGTAGTGAAGAAAGGGAGCCTGGAATAGCAATTCATTCTGAAGCTCTTTCGTAGTTAGATAATGTATACTGCTGGCTAGTGGGTTTGGACATCAAAAAGAATGGCAAGCAAGTTATTGAATTGTTCCTGCATTTCAAGTAAAAGGCTGTTAGTCAAGGCACAGAGCTTTGTTTCATTAAATGAAATATTTAAATTTTATGACCACTTCCTTGTGTCTTTGTTCAGAAACAGTCTTGTAAAAACTGTTTTTGTTCCCTATACTGGTCATTCATTTGCTGTCCCTACTCATAATTTTTTGATTGCCTAGATTTTGAATACTGTCTTTAAAATAATTCAAAGTAAAGTAGAATTTTCGTCTCAGTC